GGGGGGGGGAAGAGGGAGGAGGAGAAGAGAGGCGAGCGGTCAACTTTATGGCCGGCGAATAAATACGAGGCGATGCGGCCGCTGCGCGCGCTGCTCCGCGGCTCTCTTCCGGTGGTGCTTTCTGTGCGCGGAGGGGTGGACGTGGCCGCGGGAGAGCGACAGAGACAGACAGAGAGGGGTAAGAGTACGGCAAGAAAGTGAAATGAAGGACATGGCGAGTTTTATGCGGCGACGGGTATAAGAGTCCGGCGTGGGGTGGGGCTGGGCGGGGCGGGGGTTGGATGGGGCCTTCCCCCCCTGGGCAGCAAACGCGCGCCGCGCCGCCTGTTTACGTTTTACGGCCGACAAATTTGCGTGACCGAAAGCGAAGAGGAGGGCAAAGAGCGGCCCGTCTGTATGCATGCGCACGAGAGAGAGAGGAGTCCTCCCCCGCGGCGGCGGCGTGTCCGGCGATCCGGTGAGAGGACGAGGACGACGACTCTGCGTGGGAAGGGAAGAGAAAACAGCCGCCAAAATGGGCATACATATATATCGATCCTCTCGGTGCGGCCGCATCATCGTCCTGGGGACGACGACTGTGATCATCAGCCTGGGCGGGCGGGCGCGCCGCCAAAGGCAAAACCCCAGTGATTGGGCCACTCCTCAATGACGGCATAAGGGTCCCTCTTTGGTCTCCTCGACGCGGGGCTCGGCCCGCCGCGGTGGCGGTGAGGCTCCCGGCGCGCTATCTTCATCTCAACATCTCTCCGCGACGGCAAAGTTGCGGCTCGAGTCCGGCCGTGACCGCCGTCCCGTGTCAGCAACAAGGCCGCGCCCCGGGCGCACGCATGGGGACTTCAAAAGAGGCTCGCGCGCGCAAAAAAACAACATGTGATTGGCGTGTCCCGGGCGGGACAGTCCATCGCGATACTTTGACGACGGTTCGCGCAGTTATTATATCGTTTCACCGATAGCATCAGGCAGCAGCAGCAGGACCCCCCCACGGCGGATGAGAAATCAATCAGAAGGAGGCCAGTGGCACGGGCCGGGGCCGGGCACAAAGGGGTGGGCTCGGCTCGGCCCCGGCGGCCAGGGCGGCGGGGAGGCTCGGACGGAGTGGGTCACCCCGGGATAGCTTATTGACAAAAAGGAAAAGGGGACACAAAATAATAAAAATCATGTCGGTGATGACGTCGGCAACGACGACGACGGGCGGGAGTCGAACCCACTCTCCGGTGGCGGCGGGGGAGGCGCCACTCCGAGCAGGGGCTTAAGCGGCATTAGCGCCTGCCCGTCTCCTCCTCCTCGTCGCCCACCTCGGGGACGTCTCGCCGTGCAACAGGGCAGCGCGGCGGCAGCCAAGGCAAATTAGGTGGGACAGGAGGAGGCAAAGCGGCCACGCCCACCGCGTGGGACGAGGGGACGAGATTAGCGTGTAATCATCTTTCTTGTTTG